CTTGCATTTGTGATATTTAACCGCCTGAAGCTCTGCACATTTTCTGTATTTCCACATAAGCAGTTGTATGTTATTTATGTTTTCAAACATTATGTAATATTATTTTATGCACTGTCATCATTTTTCAAATATTGAGACTTTCATCATGTGACTTTGGTCTCTCATGGTCCTGATACTGTAATCTTATTGAAGGGATGGATTGAGACCATCTTCTGGGTCAGCTTCCGGAAGACGTTTGGATTTTTAAGTTTATATTGACTGATATTTATTTTTTTTTCTGTTGGAAGATCATCAAAATAGAGGATGGATCAACAAAGATACTTTGGAATACTGTCAGAAAATATCTCTGGGTCAGCTCCTGTTATTGACCATGTTACCTGTTGTGCATGATTAAAATTCAGTGTTGACTAACAGTGCTATTATAAGCATTATTTATTATTGCATCAAAATTGGCAAAATGACCTATTTTGCATCATTATTTTCTGTTTTTTGTCTGTACATTTGACAGCTTTGCTGCCTTGTTTATTTCGTTCTCATTTAAATCATATATATAGTTTACCACAGTACCTTTTAATTTTATCAAATATTTTTCTCGTGTATCTAGGCAGCTGCTTGTCCTACAGAGTCCTGGAGGAGATGTCCTTAACACGGTATTCCTCTCAAACTACCTCATTGCTGGCTGTGAGAAGAACTGTTATGCCTGGCACATTGACAAAAGTAATTTAGATAAAAGGATGAGCAGGTTGGTGATTCTTAAATAAAGAGAAGTGATCACAGATTTAAAGTACAAGAACATTTCACGGTTCATGTTTTGAATCATAGCTTAATAATATTTTATATTAATTTCCAAACACTGAAGAGGTGCAAGGTATTATAAAATATTTACTCCTGAAATTTAGAGATGTTGATCTCTTAGATGTCATTTTCATGAAATGAAATGATTTGAGGATGTTATCTTAATGCAGCAGAAACAGACCTTAGTATTATACAATCTTCACATGCAGGCAACCCACTCTTGAAATCAACATTCCAAAGCCCCAGAATGATATTGTTGATGCACTAGTACAAGTATCTAATGATATCATTGGTGAGTATATTTACTGAACATTTCATCATTGAATGGTTTGATGTTTACAATGCCCCTTTGATGATTGCTCTTACAATTAGACTGTGCACATCTTTTTAAAATTTCGTTAAGTTCTGTAAAATTGATTTTAAAAAAGATAAAACAGCATATAATTTGAGAATTAATGTTTTTTAATTAATTAAAATGGCTTAAGCGTAAAGATGTGGTATATTTATGATATCTCAGTGTTAAATTATTAGTTTGATGTATTATCAAAGTACATGGGGATTAAAACTTGTAAAACTAGTTTAACAGAACTATTTATGGTACATTTTCTTCCAATTTCAGCAACTAAATGTTCCCAACAAGGTTTCATTCAATTGTGGAGGTTCTCGGATGTATTGGCCCATGCCCAAAACCGTAAATGTGTCACTGCCATGCCCATTGCACGGCTGAAATGGAAAAACGTTGATACACCATACATAAATTTGGGGGCAGTGCTAAGTAAGATTTCTTTTTAAAGAATATGCTGATTAGCTACATTTTCAAGTAATTTATGGAAATGTAAAAAATTTCTTGAAACTTTTTATAAATTTGAATTTTGTCCATTGATATTCTTTTGTGGTTATTTTAATAAAAAGTGTCTACAGTATTAAGGGAATTGAAAAGGCTTCTTGAATTGTTTAAGGAATTTAGGAAGAAACTGTATTTGCCTATTAGTACCACATGGATGGTTGTCTCTACAGGCAACCATTACCACATTCCATTTGTTCCACTTTGTTGCACAAAGCCTCATTATTTCTGGTTCTAGTTGTACTTTTTCAAATAGGAGCCAATATAGTTTTAGTTAATTTTGGTTAAGATTGACATCTCTTTTAAGTCCAAGGAAAAACATGAGTATTTTGCCTTATAGTTCTATTTAACAGTATATATTTTAATCTTTATCTTATTTTTTTAGTTTTATTAATACCTTGTTTTTAATTATATGTATATATATAATTTTTCAGACTTTAATAACAAATGTGTGCTATAACGCAGTTTTGTGATTCATGATGAATCATAAATAAAGATTTGTGATTATCTGTGCCACGTATAAATCATCAAACATTTTATTAAATGAATAAAATGACAATTTTAAGATCTATTTTGTGTGGTGTGTGGAATGACCCTGGGTTTTCTGGTTACCTCAGATATACCTTAATCAGCATGGGCATGTGTCTTAGTCTGAATCAGAATGCACTTTAATCTAAATGGAGTTCAGTCTGGTGTAACTAAATCTTTCTCCAGATGCTGGCCTGGTATACTGTGGTGATGATGAGGGGCAACTGTGGATTTACAATGTGAAGCCTGTCATAACTAAAAAGATAAAGAAAAGTACCTCTTACGAGTTGATGTCACCATCGAGGGTAAGACTTAGATGCATGTTTGGTATCTATATGTCAGAGGTTGTATTATGGTTACCGTTGAGTTTCAACTGTCCATCCTTAATGTCAGAAGTTGTCCATCCTTTGTTTGCTCATAATTTCTTGTGTAAATCACTACTCCTGTATTATTCAACAATTTGCTTTGATGCTTAAATAGATGTTCGAGTTCGAAAATCGTTTTGATCAAACCATATTAACAGAAATTGTGCTGCTTTTTTCACTTTTTTAGCATATTCTTTCTACTGTATACAGATAACATAAAAAAATGTGACATATTATGCTTTAAAACTTGCAGGGCTGATTCATTTTTTTTTTATTTTCATTCTGGCATTTTCAAGGTGTAAGCTTGGATTCTTATGGGCCTGAAGCCTTGTGCTAGATACAAATTTTACTTTCATCCATATTACCTGTTGTGTATAATTAAAATTTGGTGTTGACTTGCTGCTAAGCATAGTATATTATTGCAGCAGAATTGTGCATTACTGTTTTCTTCTTTTTGTCTGTACATGTGACAGCTTTGTGGGCTTGTTCTTCTTTTTTTATACTGTAATATATTGATCTTGCATTTATGCTGTCTAGTTAAAGATTTGACACTCTTGTGAATTATTCATAAACTTCTTGCCAGATTCTTCCCTGGCCTGAGTGCTGTATTCCAACTGAAAGGGAGCAGGAAAAACTGATGGGAGATGTGCTGGATAAAGGAGAGGTAAAGAAGTATTTTATCAAGTATTATGAGTAACAATTCTTTACATATATTTATAACTTTACATCTTATACTTGTGCCGTTTTCATGGCATAAATATCATGACAATTGAAAAACATAATATTACAACCCCTGTTATGAGCTGTTCTAATGACACAGTCTAATTTTTCATTTATAGCTTCAAAGTTCACCTTTATTTTTTTCATTTCACAATCTGGTGGTTTATCATAACCTCCAATCTATGACCAAGTATTTCACATATGCAGTTGAAATATACCAGTTAAAATGTTTCTTAAAATCTTTTGAAGATTGAAAAATAAGACAACTGCCCAAATTGATAATAACCTATCTTATACCATCCACATCATATACCAGAGATTCTGATTTAAACAAAAATGTCTGGTACCTGACTATTTGGATTAAAATTCTCCTCCTCTTTGGGGATTTCTTTTTGTGTAAAAAAAATNGAGGTTCATGTTTTATACTAAAGGTACTTTGTTTTCGTAGCCTTTTATGGATTTGTACTGAATTGAAGTCGAGTTAAACTTTTGATTTTCTGTTTTAAAATTTTTAATGTTGGCTGTTTGGAATGCCTAGATCTGTCATTAAAATGCTGAAATAATTGACAGTGTTAAGCTTGCTCAAACATGTCATTGAGTAATCATATAATTATTCCACTTCATTTATAATGTAATTCCTATATTTGGGAAGGCTTCAGACAGGTACATAGCAGTGGCCTTGTGTCCCAAGCTGCAGAGATATAACAAAACCAGAGAGGCCTCATTACATCAAGTAGTCAGTAACTTGAGGATAAAACTTAGGTCTCAGGTTGGTAATCCAAATTAATCCAATAGATTAAACCAGTACAGGGGGGTTGCACATTGTGCTACTTGTGATCTAGATTGACAGGTCTTGTTACAAGATGATGAGATGTACAGTCCATATACTATAGTGGAGCAACAGAGAGAGTTAAGTATATTTCATTTATTTAGTGCCTTCCTTTAAATTATTTAATTTCAGCAGATATGTATTTTTCAACACTTTTTTTTTGCCAGCCAGTCGGGTCAAGTTGATGTTCATGACATTACGTGCTACCCCCCTTTATTATTGAAATTCTATTGCATATTATGTATCTGTTTGGTATGAAGAAAAATGGGGGCATGTGTACAACATGTACAATTGTCACATGTCCAAGACTTTTACTTTAGTAGAAGAAAACTGAAAATGATAGTAAATAATATGAGACGTATAAAGGATCAGCAGTGAAATACTAAAAATGAATGTATTTGGCCAATGTTTGTGCATTTGTTCAACATTTTACATTTCTCTGGTGCAGGCAAATTTGCTTTTCTTTTTAGGTCAAATCAGTATGGGAAGCTAGATATAAAAGCAAGCTTAAGACAGACAACCTTACAAACAACAATTTTCAGACTGTTCTCTCACAGTTCATGAATGACCTGAGGAAACAAAAATTGATAGAGGGCAAAGATTTATATAAGTATAAAGAATTTATGGTATGTTTTATGTCCTTTACAGAATTTTCTTTGTTTTGATACGTCGATTTATATCAATATTTGACTGAATGCCCAAATGGTTTTTAAAAATTATCACTTAGTTAAAGAGATATACCAATATGCTCCCAACAGACTGTTTTACAGATGTAGCTTTCTACACAAAGGCATTTCCCATAAATTTTGAAGATTTGATCTAAGTATACTATGCCGTGTTCACTCATCATTTTTAGAAGCTTATTTATGAGTCATTTTTTGTTTTGATCAGTTGGAAAGTGTGGCTCAAGAGTTGATGCATTCAGTCCAAGGAAACAGTCATGCAGGCGTGTCTCCTCGTAAGCGTCGCAGGATAGAGGAGACTGAAGATGAAGAAAATTATGAAAACACAAATCATTTCTCAAAGATACAGCCCAAACCGTGCATATTAAATCTGGTAAGGAAATAGAAGTGAAAGCTTCAAGGTAACATTGGGGATTATTATAAATCCTTTTTGTGGTATGCGATCATCAAATATTAAAAATTTATTAACTGGCAATGTGTTTCAATCTGTATGGTTTTCTGCATATCATATTTCCCCTTATAGTTATACTGTATCAAAAGGGTTCTTTTAAAATGGAATTATAAAGTGAATCTAAGCTTGACATATTACAGCTAACATTTTAGCTTTCTATATATTTGTAGCCAGATGTCCCAGATTATGATCCTGTTCATTTTGTCCGCTGTCATGCCAAGGACAACAATCCCTCAGACAACAGAACCAAAGTATGGAAATGTGCTTTTGAGCCAGAATTAGACAACCCGGGTAAGAAAAATGCCAGAGTGAGGATGGGTGCTTGAAATAAGGAGCACTCTTTTCTTTTGCAAGTAGAGTCCACTTTGATAAATAATATAAAAGAATTTTTTTGGTGAAAATGCCCTCTCTACAGTTCCTTTATTCTTAACTTATGTGAATAATGATTATACAATTATGAGGTATGAAATGTAACTTTGATCATGTAACTGAGAATGAACTTTGCGTTGCAGGAGAGACAACCAACATTGTGGCTACTTGCGGGGGTGACATACTCTGTCTTTTAGATTGCTCAACTGGTAAACTAATGATGCGTTACAAGCTACCGAAAGAGGTAATTTGCTGCTAAGCTACTCTTGATTAATACTAATGACTTTTTCTTATCTTTCCAGTTCAATGTGTTCTGAATTGGGTAGTCATTCCCATTGTCATAGAAGATTTAACATTGATTGATTAGCTTTATACCAAGCATGTGCTGTTTGGGAGAGAAACATTTGGATGAACAAAATTGCTCTTCAGATCACTAAACCACAACTTTTTAATAAATATAATATGCCTAATATTTTTTGTCTTTGGTAATCTTAACCATACCATTTAAGTGCACATAGATTGCATAGTACTGCAACAAATTTCCCAGACAATTTCAACATTCAGAATGGGATCTGAATCATTTATTATTTGAATCTCTTTCAGCATTTTTTCACTGTGGCTTGGACCACAGTGTGTAGTAGTACAAGCAGTGGGCGTGGCAGCAAGCGCACAAACATTCTGGCCACTGGGGGTAAGTCAAGTTGCCAAAGAATGCTGATTTTAAGCAAGCAGCTGTAAATTTTGCCAATACATAAGCAATTGTAGTTTTGATCATTTATTTTTCTTCTTTTCGTAATAACATTAAATTAATAGTATCATTCATTTTCAGGAAAACTAGGCATTGTTCATCTTATTCACCCAGCTCAACACCTGTGCTATGCTGAACTAAAAGGACATACAAAATATATCAGTAGCCTGTTAGTTCATCCAGAGGAACCAACATGGTTATTTAGTAAGTATAGATAATTTCTAATGTATTAATTTAAATTGTGCCTAGGCTAAATGTTCAGTCTTCTTATAATTTTTCTTCCTCAGTATTTGACTTTCATCTATGAAACTAGAAAAAGAGTTTTAACTATTATAATACAATTTTTTTGGATTGCATCACCAATTAAAATTGAATTTAATATTTGGCTTTCAGGCGGTGGTGCTGATGCCAAAGTGATATTATGGGACATTGGTGTGCCCTCCTTTCCAGATTATAAAACTTCACACAAGTTAGTAATCTGGTTTATTTAGTCTCATTCAGATTGACCTTATACCCCCCAAAAAAAAAAAAAAAAAAAAAAAAAAAAAAAAAAAAAACCTGAATCCAGTATTTATGGCAAACTACAGTGAATGTGGGACATAATTGCCGATTGTGCTAAAAGCATTTCAAAATGGTCTGCTAGAAAGCTTTTTTTTACGTTTCTGGCATTTTATTGACTTTTTATCAGATGTTAATGTGACTTAAATTACACATTACTTTGATAAGAAACATTAAATTTAACTGGCCCCTGGTCTTTGTTGTCATTTTACAAGTTAGCGTTTACTAATAAAGCATGTTTGGCGTGAATTTTAAACCTTCAGATGTGTGAAAAGGCCAGTTAGATGCCTTTTATCTTGTCACATCCCAAAGCATAAAAATAGATTAGAGTGTATCTCAGCAAACCAGTTTCATTGAATGTTTTATATACTGCCTGTCTGCCCCTCCATCAATCAAACAATTACAGCTGATAGCTGCCTTGGGTTTGGTAGAATACATCTTTTGTATGAACAGAAATTTCCATATCACACATCAAAATTATTGAATGTTTACAAATATGGAAATGTGTTTATCATCTCCTGTATGTCAGGTCTTTTTTTCTTCTTGAGGAATACTGAATCTTGTGCATTTGGTATTTTTATGTACAGACACATAGCCGTCATCTGCGTCTGTCGTCGCCGTCGCCGTNCTTACTGTAAAATTGACCTTTCACTTACCTTTTGATGAACTTTTGATATATTTTTTTGCATATTTTGAAAATTCTTGTTGATTGCATTTTTACAGCTTGTCAAGCAAAAGACTGATGGCTCTGTCCCTTATTTTGTGTATGTGGGGGTCTATACGAATGCGCTTGCTCCAGCTGGTGGTACAATATTCGGAGGCGGTATCGCCTCTCTGATCCTCTCGTTTAAAATGTGCCTAGGCTAAATGTTCAGTCTTCTTATAATTTTTCTTCCTCAGTACATGACTTTCATCTATGAAACTAGAAAAAGAGTGTTTTAACTATTATAATACTATATTTGGCTTTCAGGTGGTGGTGCTGATGCCAAAGTGATATTATGGGACATTGGTGTGCCCTCCTTTCCAGATTATAAAACTTCACACAAGTTAGTAATCTGGTTTATTTAGTCTCATTCAGAATGACCTTATACCCCCCACCCCACCCCCCCCCACCCCCCCCAAAAAAAAAAAAAACCTGAATCCAGTATTTATGGCAAACTACAGTGAATGTGAGACATAATTGCCGATTGTGCTAAAAGCATTACAAAATGGTCTGCTAGAAAGCTTTTTTTTTACGTTTCTGGCATTTTATTGACTTTCTATCAGATGTTAATGTGACTTAGATTACACATTACTTTGATAAGAAACATTAAATTTAACTGGCCCCTGGTCTTTGTTGTCATTTTACAAGTTAGCATTTACTAATAAAGCATGTTTGGCGTGAATTTTAAACCTTCAGATGTGTGATAAGGCCAGTTAGATGCCTTTTATCTTGTCACATCCCAATGCATAAAAATAGATTAGAGTGAATCTCAGCAAACCAGTTTCATTGAATGCTTTATATACTGCCTGTCTGCCCCTCCATCAATCAAACAGTTACAGCTGATAGCTGCCTTGGGTTTGGTAGAATACATCTTTTGTATGAACAGAAATTTCCATATCACACATCAAAATAATTGAATGTTTACAAATATGGAAATGTGTTTATCATCTCCTGTATGTCGGGTCTTTTTTTCTTCTTGAGGAATACTGAATCTTGTGCATTTGGTATTTTTTATTTCATTCTCAGTTAAATCATATATATAGTTTACCACAGTACCTTTTAATTTTATCAAATTTTTCTCGTGCTGTGTGTATCTAGGCAGCTGCTTGTCCTACAGAGTCCTGGAGGAGATGTCCTTAACACTGTATTCCTCTCAAACTACCTCATTGCTGGCTGTGAGAAGAACTGCTATGGCTGGCACATTGACAAAAGTAATTTAGATAAAAGGATGAGCAGGTAGGTGATTCTTAAATAAAGAGAAGTGATCACAGATTTAAAGTACAAGAACATTTCACGGTTATGTTTTGAATCATAGCTTACAAGTAATATTTTATATTAATTTGCAAACACTGAAGAGGTACAAGGTATTGTAAAGAACTTACTCCTGAAATTTAGAGATGTTGATCTCTTAGATGTCATTTTCATATCAATTTTGAAATGATTTGAGGATGTTATCTTAATGCAGCAGAAACAGACCTTAGTACAGTGATTGCGAAAGCCGTCGGACCACGGCCATATGCCGGCAAAAATTCTGTGGGCTGGAAAACCCTTATAACTCATCGGCCCACATGACCGACGGACTAAAGTTGATTTCTTTTACAGACACCGACTCATATCTGAATTTATCGTAAAGCTCTGAGTACGCACTAGGCGCAAGTAAAATTTAACCTGCGCCATACTGGAGCGTACAAATACATGTAGCAAACACTATTTTTTGTAATAAAGATCTTCATACATTATGATGTCGCTCGAAGTGCGCATAGAGATGCCGTGAGGGCTGACATGTGACCCGTTTCACAAAAAAATTATCGAAACTGAAACAACTACAGGTCAATGAAAAACGTACTGCTCAAGACACTGAAAACAGGCCGCTCAAACTGCTTACGACAGGCCGCGCACGGACCTCTCAGAACACCTAACTACATGTGCTGGGTAAACAAATATGGCTTCCGTCGCACCGCATGTTGAGTAACCGATAAGTGAAAAAGAGAAATATTCATTTGCTTTTTAGATGGGTGCTCTTAACTAATTTTAATGGATATTTTAAGTAATATTGCATCTTTAGCGGCGCTATATGTCAAAATGAAGGACAACATCATTTTCAGTGCGGAAAATTTGCAATGGCACAGTCAGGATGCAAAACTGTCTATTAATTCATCTAAACGAACTAGCTTAGCCTTAGATATTGAATAAAAATTATTTTCAGACTCTGGCCCGTAGCCAGGAATTGTTCAATTACAAAAAAATAGTTCGAAAGAATCGCCCCTTTTGCTGACAAAAGGTTCACCCTTGGTAAAATTTGATCTAGGTACATGACGTTTTTATGGAAAAAAAGACCCCCCTCCCTTTTAAAATTGCCAACTACGGGCCTGCTATGAGAGCAATGGCTTTTTTTTTTACAATAAGAATGGGAATTGTCTATCTTTTCCATGTAGTGCAATTATTTATTCTGAAAGATTTTTCCATTAAGTACAATTTTTTGGACAGTACAATTGTTAATTTTGGAAGATTTTTCCATACACTACAATTATTTAGGACTTCAGAGTAGAAGCATCAAGTTTTTTATTGTTTTTAATCATATAAAAATATTGAAATATAATGAATTTTCTCTAAATAATTCACGGCACACATTTTTTAAAAATGGCCCAATTTCTTTTTTTACCAAGTGGGCCAAAATGGCCCAACCAGATTTTGACCCAGGAGGATGCCTGCTACCAGACAAGCATTTTTCCAATAGTGAAAATCTAAAAAAAAGTTAGAAAAGTTGGAAGCTTCACTTTACTACGACTTATATTTTAATTTTAGGCAAAAATTGGAATAGAAATTAACAAAGGATACATGATCTTGTGTTAAAAGATTAGAAATTAAGATAAGCAACCCAGATGTAAAAAGGATAAAACTTAAATGCCAGAAAGCATCCAAAATGAAGGATGTTTAAACTTAAATCTCAAATATTCTATTATATCTGGCCTGAAAATTGAAAAAGCACCGATTTAAAATGCCAGGCAATAACATTCATCAAAAATGAAATGAAAATATATAGCTTGATTATTTTATTGTGGGCCGGTAAAAAAAGGTGTGGGCTGACAAAATTTAATTTGCTCCAGCCCACATGTCTGGTAAGTGTTCAATCTCTTTCGCAACCACTGTTAGTAACCTGATAGTATTATACAATCTTCACATGCAGGCAACCCACTCTTGAAATCAACATTCCAAAGCCCCAGAATGATATTGTTGATGCACTAGTACAAGTATCTAATGATATCATTGGTGAGTATATTTACTGAACATTTCATCATTGAATGGTTTGATGTTTACAATGCCCCTTTGATGATTGCTCTTGCAATTAGACTGTGCACATCTTTTTAAAATTTCGTAAAGTTCTGTAAAATTGATTTTAAAAAAGATAAAACAGCATATAATTTGAGAATTAATGTTTTTTAATTAATTAAAATGGCTTAAGCGTAAAGATGTGGTATATTTATGATATCTCAGTGTCAAATTATTAGTTTGATGTATTATCAAAGTACATGGGGATTAAAACTTGTAAAACTAGTTTAACAGAACTATTTATGGTACATTTTCTTCCAATTTTAGCAACTAAATGTTCCCAACAAGGTTTCATTCAATTGTGGAGGTTCTCGGATGTATTGGCCCATGCCCAAAACCGTAAATGTGTCACTGCCATGCCCATTGCACGGCTGAAATGGAAAAACGTTGACACACCATACATAAATTTGGGGGCAGTGCTAAGTAAGATTTCTTTTTAAAGAATACGCTGATAAGCTACATTTTCAAGTAATTTATGGAAATGTTTAAAATTTATTGAAACTTTTTATAAACTTGATTTTTGTCCATTGATATTCTTTTGTGGTTATTTTAATAAAAAGTGTCTACAGTATTAAGGGAATTGAAAAGGCTTCTTGAATTGTTTAAGGAATTTAGGAAGAAACTGTATTTGCCTATTAGTACCACATGGATGGTTGTCTCTACAGGCAACCATTACCACATTCCATTTGTTCCACTTTGTTGCACAAAGCCTTATTATTTCTGGTTCTAGTTGTACTTTTTCAAATAGGAGCCAATATAGTTTTAGTTGATTTTGGTTAAGATTGACATCTCTTTTAAGTCCAAGGAAAAACAGGAGTATTTTGCCTTATAGTTCTATTTAACAGTATATACTTTAATCTTTATCTTATTTTCTTAGTTTTATTAATACCTTGTTTTTAATTATATGTATATATATAATTTTTCAGACTTTAATAACAAATGTGTGCTATAACGCAGTTTTGTGATTCATGATGAATCATAAATAAAGATTTGTGATTACCTGTGCCACGTATAAATCATCAAACATTTTATTAAATTAATAAAATGGCAGTTTTAAGATCTATTTTGTGTGGTGTGTGGAATGACCCTGGGTTTTCTGGTTACCTCAGATATACCTTAATCAGCATGGGCATGTGTCTTAGTCTGAATCAGAATGCACTTTAAGCTGAATGGAGTTCAGTCTGGTATAACTTTCTCTCTCTCCAGATGCTGGCCTGGTGTACTGTGGTGATGATGAGGGGCAACTGTGGATTTACAATGTGAAGCCTGTCATAACTAAAAAGATAAAGAAAAGTACCTCTTACGAGTTGATGTCACCATCGAGGGTAAGACTTAGACGCATGTTTGGTTTCTATATGTCAGAGGTTGTATTATGGTTACCGTTGAGTTTCAACTATCCATCCTTAATGTCAGAAGTTGTCCATCCTTTGTTTGCTCATAATTTCTTGTGTAACTCACTACTCCTGTATTATTCAACAATTTGCTTTGATGCTTGAATAGATGTTCGAGTGCGAAAATTGGTTTGATCAAATCATATTAACAGAAATTGTGCTGCTTTTTTCACTTTTTTAGCATATTCTTTCTACTGTATACAGATAACATCAAAAAATGTGACATATTATGCTTTAAAACTTGCAGGGCTGATTAATTTTTTTTTTTTTCATTCTGGCATTTTCAAGGTGTAAACTTGGATTCTTATGGGCCTGAAGCCTTGTGCTAGATACAAATTTTATTTACATCCATATTACCTATTGTGTATAATTAAAATTTGGTGTTGACTTGCTGTTAAGCATAATGTATTATTGCAGCAGAATTGTGCATTATTATTTTCTGCTTTTTGTCTGTACATATGACAGCTTTGCTGCCTTGATCTTCTCTCTTTTCTATACTGTAATATATTGATCTTGCATTTTTGCTGTCTAGTTAAAGATTTGACACTCTTGTGAATTATTCATAAACTTCTTGCCAGATTCTTCCCTGGCCTGAGTGCTGTATTCCAACTGAAAGGGAGCAGGAAAAACTGATGGGAGATGTGCTGGATAAAGGAGAGGTAAAGAAGTATTTTATCAAGTATTATGAGTAACAATTCTCTACATATATAACGTTACACCTTATACTTTTGCCGTTTTCGTGGATTAAATTTCAAATTGAAAACATAGTATTACAACCCGTGTTATGAGCTGTTCTAATGACACAGTCTAATTTTTCATTTATAGCTTCATAGTTCACCTTTATTTTTTTCATTTCACAATCTGGTGGGTTATCATAACCTCCAATCTATGACCAAGTATTTCACATATGCAGTTGAAATATACCATTGGTTAAAATGTTTCTTAAAATCTTTTGAAGATTGAAAAATTAGACAACTGCCCAAATTGATAATAACCTATCTTATGCCATCCACATCATATACCAGAGATTCTGATTTCAACAAAAATGTCTGATACCTGACTATTTGGCTTTAAATTCTCCTCCTTTTTGGGGATTTCTTTTTGTGTAAAAAATGATATTTAGAAAGTTGCATTTGTTTTTATGTACAGACTAATTGTTCAAAAACAGGGAAACTTTATCAGCAGTGATAGGGAAAAGTCTCCTATATAAGTGTTGCTTGTGTCTTTTTTTTTTAATACTTATTCACTGGTGATGGAAAATTTCTGCAACCCCTCACATAACTGTAAGTCTCCTCCTTGAATTTTAAGGTCTTTCCAAAATATCTGTTAGATTAAGCAAACAGTTAATGTAATGGAAAATGTCAAGAAGTTTTCATGATCTATAGGTTTTAAAGCAAGTAATGAGAGCAATAATATCATGGAATCTTTGCCTTAATCATGTATTAACCTTCAGTGAAATGGCCATTACTAAATAGAAACGTGATCAAATAAGTGAAGTTGATGGCAGTAAGCTTTACAGGGGTCAGAGCCAAATTGCTTATTGTTCTTGCCTTAGCATTATCTTTGCAAGAAAGAGCAGGTGTGAGTAATCGTACTATCTTATATTAATCAGTTTTCTCTAAAATGGTTTTCCTCGGTTGTCATAATATTGCAATTAGGGTTTGCCTATAATTTGTTTATCTGATGATTTAAGTCTTAACAGTCCTGGTGGATTCACGTATTTACAGGAATTGTGTTTCAGTGAATGCTTGCATTCACAGATAATCTTATTCCTGGAAGTCATACATTTACTGAATGCTATTTGTTATCCCTGCTCTGTTGCAGCCATACAAAACCAATTAAGAGAAATAAAGTTCTGAATAATGCTCCATTCCTTCTGAAATGTTCCAGAATATAATCGATTTGCATGTGATGTTGTAAGATGAGGCAATGATTAATTGAAAAAGAACTTGAAATGTCAGTCGCATTTGAATTTCTAGCACTGTCATTTTTGAAGTAGATGTTGAAGTATGTTCTGGCTATTTTTAAGATCAATAACTGAATAGTACTTGGTGGTATTCAGAGGACTTGCTGCTGAACAGTTGGGGACCTGACACTTGCTGTTGGCAAACTGGATTTTTGCTAATAATGTCTTTGTAGGGAGTTATTCATTTCCTTGTTACTTCTTAATCTGCCTTAAGGGGATATCGGAGTTTGGAGTATGTTGCTTGGTCTATTTGTTTGTGAGTTTGTTCTTTTCGCACTTTCCAGTTTACAATACTTCATGTATCAATCTAATTTTTTATTTTTATTTGATATATGTATTTTGATGAAATTTACAGGATAGGTCATAAATGGGTCAAGAAAGAGGAGATTTGATTTTGGTGATGTTCCATTTGCTAATTAATTAATTATTCAATGATTACATTTTCAGGATACACAGAATGGGTCAATTTCATGAAATTTAAGGATGGGTCACAAATGGGCCTGTCATGATGGTTGGCAATAACTGAAATATATTATCCCATTTTTGTTTATCATAAGACCTAGCATCTTCTGAGACAGCTGTATGCATCTTCCATTACAGTTCTTCTCTAAATCACAAATTGCAAAGCACGGATTTACTATCATATCTTTTCTCTAGGGTATGCTCTTTTATCTGCTCCTGATTGTCAAATTATTTAAGAAATATTGTACAACATTTTGTTAACAGTATGTTTTTTTTAATTCAGCCCATTGTGATAAACAGTGCTACAGGGAGTTGGAATCATGAGTATATCGTGGCAGGAACAGATAATAACTTGGTGTGCATCTGGAAGAAGATCTGAAATAGGAGAATTAATGACTCATCTACATGTGACATCTGAGATAAAGCTTTAATCCAGTCATTTGAAAAAGCTAACATGAAAGGACACAATGAGTGTTAGATCTTTATTTAGCCCCTTCTTTCCTTAGAAAGTTGTTGACAGGGGATTTTTATGGGTATGCTATGGTGAAAAAGAATCTATTAATTTATTTTTGTTTGGCTATGTTATGGTTAAATGGTCAATGTGTGCCTATAAAAAGTGCAAAATATACTTTTACATAGCTCACAAAGGATATAATTACAGTATGGGTCTATGTTATCTTGAAGAGTTTATAATATTAGAAGGCAAGAAGAAGGCATTGCACTCTTTAATGCTTGTTAAATGACAGGAAACCATTACTCCTTACTGTTTCCAGGTCATCACGCTGAGGAGGGTAGGAAACAAACAGCATGATGAAACTGTTTTTGTAATTTTTAATAACAAGACAACCATGTTGGGCAGTAGTAAAATGGAAGGTTTCATTACTTCAAGTGAAGTAAAAGGCAGCATCTGACTTAGTCAAGAGTAGATTTGTTTCTTGAAAGGAGAGTAACATTATTTAATGAGTTTTTTCTTAGAAAGATTAAGAATAGAGCAAGCTATTTTTTTTAGGATATCATTTTTAAATTAGATGTTGAAATGACTGTACATGTTGGATATTTTCAGTGAACAGAAGGCTTTTTTGTATATTAGACAGAGTGGCATTCAGGCACTGGGTTCACAAAGGTAGATCCATGTAGACAACCAGTAAATGTTTTTAAGCAAATTACTACAGGAAGTAGCTTCTTTGATGTCAGTGGTGATTCTTTAGATTTAGAACATTATTTTGTATACAATTTATGATTACATTTTATAAGCACATTTTAGAGTACAAAGTAGACTAAAACTATAAGGGTGGATTAACTAAAGACCCTTTAATTTTAGAAAATGTTTTTGTACTTTGATGTTTTAGCAAAAAGTAAATTATTGTTTTAAAGCTCTATTAGTTTTATTTACAATATTCTTTTGAGGAGAGAAGTAGGACTTTATAGTATCGTTTTCAGTTGGAAATTGCAAGATGAAGCATACTTACTCCTGTAGTATACCATATATTATGTGTCACAGTCTTAATTGACAGCAAAGATAACAAAATTTCAAGACATTGAAGGTAGTTTAAAAATTGATATTTACTGTTACAGTAGGTGTCTGACAGTTTTCTTCGTATTCCACATTTTAGCTTTTGTTGATTCCATATATATATAGTCATCAGTCTAAGTGTTTGTAACGTAAAGAATCAAATCAAATTAAATATGGAAAGTTGATATTTGTTTTGCTGTTTTGGTTTTGGAAAAGTTTTGGAATAGTTTTGGAAACAGCACTCAGAGTCTAGGACGTTTGGTGATTTTCATGGAGTATTCCATGCAAAAGAGGCGGTCCATATATCTCTAAAAGTCCGTATGACTATAATAACTGTAATTTTGTGCAGATGGCACGTTTCTTTTACAGAACCTACACTTTGCAATAAACACTCTTTTGTGGATAAATTTACAGACTAATCTGCCAAACATTTTCTCATTTGTAAAAGATTTGCATAAACATTCATCATGTTGAATGCAATAAAGCAATTTGCAAAACAATTTGGTCTAAATGCATTTTATGAACGCAGACTCCGACTTTCTTCTTAAGTTGCCTTCCGGTGTCACTCTATATTGATGAGGTCTTTTTAACCATGGTGAGCAAAAATCGATGACAACCCAACACAATACCTATCTTTATTAAGATCGGCTGCAATAGCTTGCTGATATTTTTTGTAATAATTGGATGGCAATGATGATTGACCTTCGTCCCTTCCCTACTCGGGCCCAGTGGCGAAAGATACCAAGGTGCGCATAGAAGGTAGCAGATATGCAGTTAAAATGTCACCCAATTTTGTTAAAAAATTCAGACAGACCAAATCTAGATTTAGAATCTTAGTTTACCCTTTGAAGCTGCCTTTTAAGCTGTATGCTATATGATGGTATCGATTTTAAAATAAAATTGGGACATTTTTTGTTGGTTTGCAATTCTACTGTAGAACTATGCATCTAGGTTAACTTTTTTTATATTCATCTGCTCTTGAATAGGTAAACCTGGAACGTTAACTAATTGGATCCAAATGCATGTCGTTTTCCGGTGGACTTTTTATTAGGTAATGAAGATTGCTGGTTTTCCAGCCGACAACAAACCAGATAAAATGATCTCATCATAGACATGATGCTTCCACAGCTACCACTTAACTTGAATGACTTTAACCTTGTAAAAATTTTGTTGATTTTGGTGTTAAACTTAATGTAAAATTGCATCAAATTGACAAAATAAGCTATTTTGTGTGTCATTATTTGCTTCTATTTATGTACATTTTACAGCTTTCCTGCTTGTAAAACTTTATACTCACGCCGCCTTTTATAACTTGACCCCAACATATTAATGCGACCTATTATCAACTTACGACCCCCCCCCCTTTCCCGTCTTCTACGTTCCGATGGCCATTTGCTCCTTACACCCTGTAAGGCTAGATTCGTCACATATGGTGACAAATCTTTTAAAGCCGCTGCAAGGGAATGGAATTTTCTTCCACTTTAACAACGTATTACAGCCTCTCCGGCTACTTTATTAGGGAACTCAAGTACTTTCTTTTTCAAATAATTTTAGAAAAGAATTTTTATGAACGACTTCTTAAAGAAAGTGAAGAAGTAATATTTTCATTTCTACATTATTTGTGTTAATCAATTTTTCGTATTTTAATCAAATGTTCTTTTACTCTGACTGGTCTTTTTTATACTTTATTCACGTTGCATTGTAAAGTCTACTGGACAATTTGGATTCTTTTTATTATATTATTATTGTTAACCGCAAGATGATCTTCAATACATCTGGCCGATTTGCAGTTTCAGTTGGTTTATATGGAATGCACTCCACAGTACAGTACGGACTGGAAAAATGGATAATCCCTTTTTCTTGTCGATGTCACATATTATTAGTTTTAACTTTATCTCGATGGCAGCATCTTCTGTCTGTAACGAAGGGGCCACTCGTTCAAAGCTGTAACGTAACTAGAAAAATGAAAACGTCTTTTACACGTTTGAAAAGTGTGATATTTATTAATTTTATTATTCATTGATTAAAGTGTTTCCTTTTTTTTTTGCAAAGTAGGACCTAATATTTCTACATAATATCTTATATGTATTCTACTCAATGAATATTTTGGTATTCAGTCATATACCATAAGCATGCTTTACTTTTTTTGCCTTTCCTAATTTGACACAAATTACACGACTAAATATTCGCCTAAAACGAGAAATTGAGTTAGAGAAGGCTAAGGTATTTAAAACACGACATCGTATATAGGCCTACCCATGCAAAAAGGCTCATTTGCAGTTGTAGGAACGCTCGCAGGGGGATTTAATGAATATTGTACGAACATTACACTTCTTGATCTCTTATTATGACGACCATTAAACTGCAATCCGATGCCACAGTGTATAAACATAAAAGGTATTATTCTTCGTGGTACTTAACCAAAAGCAAAAGGACAATGTAACAATAAAGATGCCTTTCCCTATTAATTTTATTCGTGAATGTTAAGGATAAATAAAGCTCAATGACATCTGATATCACTTTAGCAAGAAATGATGTTGTTGCAAACATGTGGTTTTCATGTACGTACAACGGTATCTATTTCCGATAAAACAAGGTATATTTAGTACGTCGTGTTGTGAAAATCGCCCTTAAGCTAAATTACTTTTCTGGAATGCAGGTGGTTAACCGTCTTATGGGCTAAGGTGGTCCCATTAAATCCCTGAAGATTAAATGGAATCTCTGAAAATGATTGCTTCCAGAATTTAATTCCAGAAAATTACATAATTTACAAGAAAAGATCATAAAAATGATTGCATGTACATAATGAGTGTAGTCAGATAATTGCTTATCTGATGAACGTGCTTGTACTTTAGTTAATCATCGGACGTCTAAAAATGTATTGTGTTTGTACAATTTCCCAGTATTACCATTTTTGTTTGGATTCTTCTGAAAGTCCCACAAGTCTTGAGGAGAAACCAGTTATATAATATGCCATGAACATACCATTCAAAAATGCGCAATATATATATATTCTTTAAATTAGCTTCTAATCAGCAACATAAAAGGAACAACCTCAACTCCATCGCTGCGTTAACTCATTTTTCCCTCTGGATTATTCCACTCACCGTATATCAGCTTTAAATTCATCGACCCTCAAAACGTTTTAAATGAAAACCATTGACTTTATTCCCTAACGTGTATTTGAATATGCTCGGGGGATGGAGTCTGTGTGAGGGTCGTTAAATTGATGAACTCTTAGGACCAAACTAAGCATCGTGTTCCTTAATCAATGTTTGATATGCAGAGAGTGCCAGGGACATTATCACAAATTGTAACAATACGACTCTTTTCAGCTGAAGTTTATTTTTAATGATGCCGGATCTCACACAATCACTTGTGGGTGTCGGTGAAACAGAGTAAACAAAGAACGGGAGCGTCCCAAAAGAACCATTACCGGGGTACAGAGTCATAATAAAATGAATGAAATATTTTGAATGCACACCAAAGGAAAAAGGCGAACGACTTGGAAAAATGCCAATACATGAAATGTTCAATTTCATTGATTTTCAAAAACATGTAAATACCTAATAAAACTGTTTTCAACATTTAGATCATGATTCAATAATTAACTATTATATTTGGGACCATTCTCACAGATATATGGATCGATCTATCTCCCTGGGGAATCTCACTAAATTGCTATCAACTCAACCGGCTTAAATGTCTGTCACGCCTAGTAAAACTGTTAGAGGGTAATTATCTTACCCCTAGCCGATTCGGTGAGACTCCCCATAGAGTTAGACCGATCCAGATGGATCGACCTAGGTATGGGAACCCAGTATTTGTTTATAAATAAATAACTTGTACCAGGACTTTCACGCACATTCATAATTCGTGTGGGTATTTCTAACTCTTTAATTTGGATATTATCTTGTGAAAAACTCAAACTGATAAGGTTAAAGTATGGGTATTTCTAACTCTTAATTTGGATATTATCTTGTGAAAAACTCAAACTGATTAGGTTAAAGTGCTCGTTAATTAGTCGAACGTATAAGGCCCTCTGACCGCCTTGAAGAGTTTCTAACCATTGTCATTTGAACTATGTCTACGAATGAATTGTCTTGCTGTGTGTCATTAGAAAGAAGTCCACAGCACAGATATTTTACAAAATACTGCTGAAAGTCCTTGCTCAAAATGCACAGCGAATAAGGATTCACGCACGAGTTTAAAAAACTTAGAACAAACCCAGTTTGTTTGAACACGTACCAGAAAGCACTGAATTTGTTGCCTCGCGAAAACTGAAACCATAAAAGGTAGATGTGGCGTGGTAACCAACAAATGGCAAAAACAGCTACTAACACAAGAACAATTTTGGCCGTTTTCCGCCGAATATGTATATTTCTTTGATATCCCGCATTGTGACTTCTAGCATTATTGTAAAGAGGGGTACTATCTGAGTGTGTGGACTTCAACAGATGTTGTGCCATCTTGATATAGGAATATGCAATTAGACTTAATGGAACCAGGTAGTACACCAACGCATGGAATGTGACATGGAACCGACTGTACCAGCGCGGCCATGATACTGGATAAGGGTAGCAGAAAGACCTGAAAGTGCTATTGTCCTCATCCGGTATATGGAAAGTGTAGTAAGAAATTGCGTCTGGTATAGCCAACACTGTGGCGAAAGCCCAAACCAATGCCGTTATAAACACTGTGCGATGGAACATCGTGCCTCTGTGGTATTTGAACGGATTAATAATGGCATTGTGCTTCTCCAGACTCAACACAGAAAGAGTAAAGATGCTTACTCCGAGAGAAACTGTTTGAAGGAAGGCATTCAGTTTGCAAACGAAGTTACCAAACAGCCAATGCGGGAATGCGTATACAGCAGCGGTGAATGGAACCGATATCAATATCAGTATTAAATCACCCACCGCCATACTGACTATCAGGATATTCGGGACGCTCTTCATGGCTTTGTTTCTTAACACTGTGTATATGACGACGGAATTGCCCACCAATCCAAGAATGAAGATTAGCGAAAATATGATAGGAATAAGCGTGGCATCCAGTTGAGCTAAACTGCATATTTCACAATCTTCATTAGTCAGATTTGAAGGTAATGCGTTCGTCTGGTTTCGAACTTCCAGGATTTTTTTGTCGTAGTTCATCATCTTTTTTCGTATCTTCTTTACTATTTTTCTCAATTCTATATATCGATGTTGGGATTTCTTCTAAATGACACTAGTAGAATCTCGTAATCTTCCAGTGCGTTTCTATACAGGTATTTCAAATTCTACTTTAAATTATTTGCTCTGCACCCGCTATTACTTGGTAAGTTTACTGAGGTGAAAGCAAATCGAAAGTTAAGATTTCAGTTGATCACAAATTGATTTCAAGGCGAAGTTCTTGAAGCCAGTCTGGGTAACATGCAAATAAATTCAAATGAATTGCCGATTTTATTTTTGGTATGAGACGGTCATGTCAAGTGTTATGCACATTCCGCCTAGGCTCCCAAAATGCAATCTGAAATACACAAAACATTCAAAGAGTGTTAGAAAAAAATAGCGTTACATTGTATTTTAGAAATTCGTTTTAAATGCTTTCTTTTCATCCTTGGGGTTATCATGCTTTTCGCATCTCGCCCAACGCTTGTGCTGCGTTTAGAGTAGGCCTATATCACTCGTCGAAATCGGTGCTGAGATAGAACGTAAAATGTTAGCCCGCACCCGTAAGATTTTCCTTGAGAGCAGTTTGGTTTTAGGTGACATTACAAGACGACTAAATCTGACAATCAGGAATTAAACCATAAGATTAAAAAATATAAGAGACGAATTTTCCTAGCCTCCTCAACACCAGCACTTATCGATCACAGCAGTTTGTGCCGGTAGTTCCAAGCTGAGAAAAAATCTTACAGATGAATGTTTATGAGAGCACTTTTTTTGCATCGAATGAATGTTACATGCGAATGGAAAATTTTCGCTTTCTTTTTTCTATTACCACTTTTTCCTGAGAAAACCACCTGTCAAGCGCACACAAGCACTTAAACTCTAATGTTGATAAACTACATCAATTTAAAAATTTGATATGTAGGCCTACCAGTGTTTGTCTAACACGTACATCACGACAGACCTATTGACTGCAATAATAATGATAATAATAAAAATAATAATAATTCGATTTCTAATTCATAAAATAAATTCAGCCGACTAAGATATATTGCTACTTCTAGCAACTAAAAAAATCACAACGGGTCATTTACCTTATTTTCAATTATTCGATGTCGGGCTGGTTTCAGACGTGATGTCGCACTCGTTTCCTATGACGAACTGACCTGGTACAGCTTCTAAAAGTATCTTTCTCTTTACAACACAATCTTCTCTGTAATAGATCTGGCAACTGTAGAGACATGCGCAGGTCACAGAGCTGATGAAAACCAGTGAAACATCTTACAGTCGCCTTAATCCCACCAGCGAATCCCAGTTACAAATTAAGGCAGATTTATGTAAGTCACGAAAGACGTCATAGGGAAGCCTCCATGCGATTTCTCCCAAACTTTGCTATTTCCTTCGCTTTATTTATTTATTTATTTATTTATTTATTTATTTATTGACTTCTACTGTATCTTACAGTGTTTTATCCACGTTTTATCAAAGCGCCTGGCTTCCATCTTATCTTCTGTCGTTTATTGCGTCCTAGTTCTTTGTTCGGATGATATTATTTGCACCATTCAGTATCGACAATTTATTGCCATAATCAAGACGCGGAAATCAAAAGTGGATCTCAGGTAGCACTGGTTAGAAATTTGGAAACGTCAAAATAATACAAAAAGGGAAGTCTTTTTTGTATTTTAGAATGTGATTTTAAGGTGAGGCTATACTCAAATAGGGCTAAAAATCCCGTTTTTATAGATAAAAACTCAACAGTAATATTTAAAGAAAAATCCCCGAGCGAGCCCCTTTTACTTTGCTCAAGTGTTATAATACTATTAAAAGCATGTTTATGGCTGTTCAAATACCTTACAAAATCAGGAAACCGGAAATGTTTCTGACCCAAAAATCCCAATATTACGTCTAACGATGAACTTGGAGCTGTGCTTCAAGCATAATTAGATATTTTGAAGACGCATTAAATGAATGCAACAGGAATAAAAAAAGCTAAGGCCTTTAATTTAAGATAAAATCTCCAACTTGCAGTCCTACCTTAAGAATCTGACAGCAGTAGAAAAATCGATTTTCCTGAGCTTTAGTGATATAAAAATCCAGGTTGTGGTAAAAAAACAAGTATTGCGTAGGCATTAATGTCACGCAAGAAAACATAGCTTAGAAGTTACTAAGATTTTGTTTATAACTGTTTAATGCTTGTTGGAATAAAAGGCTTTTGTTGATAAAACCACAGCTTTTATTGCTTTTATAATAAATCTGTTTTTTTCTGTATCCCTATAGACACCCATAGACCCCTATAGAAATCGACATACCTTCAAAATTAAACTGAAATAAATTCACAGCTTATTAATTGAAATGGAAATGTTGTCATCTACAGGTGTATCTCTCGCTGGACACCAAAGCACTGCAGTGCCATACTTTACGTGGTGATGGTGGTCATCAACCAAATTCATCAACAGATGTTCAAAGAAACTCGTGTCACAGTGTCACAGACTACCATACCTGAACATCACTTTTCTTTGCACGTTGCTTTGCTTTAGACAAAAATGAACAGGTTATTGGTGTATCTGATAACGCATTAAGACCATGAGTTGAGCTTAAAGAAGGAAGTATGTCCTCAAAATGATGGTCATGAAATTTGTGTTTCCATTTATCTTTTCATGAGCTCGTATTGTATTACCGTTTCTTAAATAGCGTATGCACTGTATGCTGTTGTTTACGGGGATGTTTTTAACTCCTATCTCCATTTATCTCTTTTCATGAGTTTGAAAGTACAACATGTATGGGTTTTTTCTAAATATAATTGGACATTTTCCTCATTGTTTCATTCCAGTTTAAAAACATCTGGAAAATCTCCATCTAATAAACGAAACAGTGACGGCATTTCGAGAATACAGGCAACTGCTATCGTCTGGTCGTCATCAATGACACCGTTTTCAAGGAGACGTTCAAAAACCTGTCGCTGAAAAAAATAAAGTTGAGTTACAGCATGCTTTGTTCCTCCAAAAAATCCACCTACAATCAGAGTGTCAATTGCTTTTTTGTATATGACTTCTACAGATTTAAGAGATAATAGAATTTTTCTAAATCGGACGAAAAAAGAGACACGATGATCGTCTGGTTCCATGATGCTTTTCGGTGCCCAAAATGCTGTCGCAGGTAATTCTGCCTTGTTGCCGTGGCCGTACCCTATGTCTATCCAGTAGTAGAATTTGGTATTAAATCGACTGAAAACGGTTGCATTGTACACAAATTCGGGTTTAGTGTTGGTGAGAATTACGTACCACGGACTAAAACCTTCCGGGTAAGCCAACATTTCATGGCCATCTTTAAATTTGTTAGATGACATGATAGTCCTTATTCGCAGAAAGTGTTTGCTTAGCTCAAAATCTTCTTTGCTCTTTATGAACATTTCCGTTTTATGCATTTTTCCTTTTCTCAGCCTTTCAATGTCAGGACGGAACTTCTCCTCCGTGTAAATCACAAAATTAGATTCCAACTTCAGAATGTGACGCGCAAACTCCAAATAGGCAGCGTTCGTTCTGCTGAAGTGGTGCCAGTTGTGGCGCCCGATGTCAAAGAGTGCAGTCACCAGGGTGAAGTCTGATGTATTCCCTGTAATTGCAAATGTTTAGAAAATCTAATTAAACTAACGTATCTCACAGCATGCAAGAAAACAAATGACAGGATTTGTCATAGATTTAACTAGGACAAAGAGGGAAGAAAATAAGCACAATTTAAAAATTAGGAATCATTTCTGTTTTGTTATTACATTGTAATAAAGGCAGAATGTTATTAACTAATAGTGCAAATGTGAACAACATAGAAAAAAGTATGGGTATTTAAGAGTAATGATAAACTTTTAGATATCAAGCTTCAAACGTAGTTTTGTTTTTCCACCACCTGCCCGTTTATGAAATAGCTGTTTCAAGCCTATTCAGTCAGTTTATTTTTCCATTGAACACCGATCTTGTGTTATATTGTCCAATAGCAATTTTGAAAGGATATCTTGAAGAAATCAAGGTCTTATGACTCTTGTGACTTTAAAATAATTGTAAGCGACATTTCAACTAAAAGCATATGCATTAGGGAATTGGTAAGATAATCAACAAGAATTGAGTGTGAGAGCTATCTAAGTAAATTTTAATTCTGTGCCATTCCATGCAATGCAGTTAAGACGTTGGAATGCATGGAGAATAGTCTGCATGCCAAGAACTTCAAGGTAATAAAAAACGACTTTCCTGTAGTTTGCGGCTGCATTCGCACACCGTGACAGAGTGTCCCCCATAATAAAGAGTCCGCTTCCAATTCATTTGTACAGGTAAGCCTCGCCTACATTTTGACCCACTAAGGTCAGACTAACCATAACCATTATAACTATATGGAGGGCGGACCCTCAGTTTCGTTACACCGGCTTCGCATTCAAATGTGTACAATAACATTACATATCTAGTATCGAGTTTGAATTTGTTTGAGTTTGTTCGAGTCAATGTCATAATTATAATTTTGCCGTGTATTGTCTTTCGAAAAACTTGTGTCGACATTTCGATAGTCTCAGTCACCTACATGTAAAGCCTATCATACAAAACCAATTTTCCATTATTCCTTTAATATTCACTTGCACGCCGATTCAGTACGTATATACCTTTTTATGACATGAGTTTACTGGGCAACTTCATAAAACTATGTAAGAGATTTCGTTCCAGAAGTAATTAACAATTATTTCTAATAGGAATAGCAAATCGTATAAGACCCAAGAAATGCCGTGATATTTCGTTGAACTTTGTGGGTAATTGCTGTTAAAAGCTTCGCTTCATGTGGTAACTCGTTTTTGCAAACAATTTTGGCTTACTGTATGCTTATATTTTCGAGATGTTTGGACAATGCTGGTGCAAACGTGCTATGCATTTTCAGTACCAAGCTATGGGGTTAGCATGATACTCTGAACATCTAGCTGTGACATATTGGAGAGGGCACGTGCCTCCACACACACATAAAAAAAAAACTTA